ACCCTTGTTTCGTCTGTACCTGACCACGAGCCATCCACATTGCGGTGGCTTGGACACTGGGATACCCAGCCTGCACCGTTCCGGCAAGCAGCTATGTGCGTGGACCAAGCATGACAATCTTTTTCAAGGCTACTCTCAAACACCATGGGGCAGATAACAAGAGAAAAATACCCATAACCACTTCTATACCCATTTTTCAGCTGTGAAGAAATGATAGGGGGCTGGTGCTGTGGTGCAGTAGACTAAGCTTCTGCCTGTAGTGCCAGAATCCCATATGGGTGCCAGTTCTAGTCCTGATGCTCCTCTTCGAGTCCGGCTCTCTGCTGTGGCTTGGCAAAGCAGTAGAAGATGGCCCAAACTCTTAGACCCCTGCATCAGCGTGGGAGACCTGGAAGAAGCTTCTGGCTCCTGGCTTTGGATTGGCTCAGCTCTGGCTGTTGCAGCCATCTGGGGAGTGAACCAGTGGATGGAAGACCTTTCTCTCTGTCTCTCCCTCTCACTGTCTTTAACTCAAATAAATAAATAAAATCTTAAAAAAAAAAGAAACTATAGAAGATGGACCTCCATCCATTCTATCCCCATAAGATTATGGGATTTTCTCTTTTGGAGGGGAATGTTAGAAAGTTAGAAATTAGCCCATCAGTGGAGGATGCCCACATGCTTGGGCCCTGCACCCGCACGGGAGACCAGGAGAAGCACCTGGCTCCTGCCTTCAGATTGGCACAGCGCTGGCCGTGGCAGCCATTTGGGGGGTGAACAAACGGAAGGAAGACCTTTCTCTCTCTCTCTCTCACTGTCTAACTCTGTCCCAATGAAGGAAAGAAAGAAAGAGAGAGGAGGGAAGGGAAGGGAAGGGAGGGGAGGGGGAGGGGGAGGGGGAGGGGAAGGGAACCATTAACCACAGTTTGGTATGGTTAGTGTTCCAAGGAGAAGCACAGTGGAGCTCAGAGAAAATACAAAGCTAGGAGTTTGCAGGGGAGGGGGGTCTCTAGCCTATGTGTAGGAGAGGGGCCTAAGGAGAACAAATTGCTCTGGAGAGCAATCCAACAGCTTCATGAGCAGCCCAGTATTTCACACTGCAAAGTCCTGCCCAGACATGATAACTTTCCAGGTGGTCTCAGCCCTTCCCCCGAGGGAAGCTCCCCAGAATTCTCTCTCCTCTGCACTACGTGGGGTATTTGGCCTGATAACACTGAGCAATCACACCATCACATTCTTCCTCCAAGACAAGCGCCCTAGGCTCCCACGCCCAGCACCAGAACCTGGGGAGGAATTTTCCTAATTTATACTCAGCAAACCCTTTGTCAAGGAGGGGAAGGAGAAACAGCGGGAAGAACTGGACCCCTTTCCCATATAAGCCCCAGTCTGAACACATGGCTCTCACTCAGCTCTCAGCTCTCTCCTGAGCCGACTGCCTGGCCTGCCAGGTATCTTCTCCCTATTTAACCTTGCTTTCCCCAGTCTGAGTACTCTCTCTCAGATTTGGTTCCATCCATTCTGATGGATGCCTTATCCCTTGCTACTTTGCTACATTGTTTACCACTGGGCGGATGAGGTGGGCATTGCTTGATCTCCTTTCCATTTGGCCTGTTCCACATTAGAATCTGGGAGTAGTCCTGTTTGAGCACTTTACTACTAAGGATTTAAAAGCAATACGCAAGGGTACTTTAAGAAGTTCACTCCTAAAATGGTTGCAACAGCCAGATCTAGGCCAGGCTGGAGCCAGGAACTCCATCCTGGTCTCCCACATGGGTAACAGAGGCCCAGGTACTTGGGGCCA